TCGCATTTACGACGGTTGCAGCATCGCCTTGCTCACGTGATTTAGATTCGGATGCTTGGCGGCCGACTCACATTTACGACCACATGATTCATTTAAGGACCACAGTGATTTCTTTTTAAGAGTGGCAAAAAGGTTGTTAAATGGGATTCACCTCCCTCAATAACTCTCCTGCTTTTAGCAATGGAAATTTTGAATTCAGTTACGGTCATAAGTCCAGGACTGCATGCATTCCTCTGGTTCTGATCCATCCCACTAAATCTAAATTGCAATTACGGGTCGTCCCCTTAACGTACGACCACAGCTGAGGCCAAAATTGATGCGGCTGAGTTTTGCCCCATTTTATGACTTTCATTGCTGTGTTTGTTAAGTGAATCCCTGCAGTTAACTTAGTTGTAAAGTGAATCTGGCTTTGGAATCCGGCTTGGAAACTGATCAAAGAGAGAAGCAACCTAGAATTAAGGAGAAAGTTCCTGACAGGACAATTAACCAGTAGAACAGCTTGCCACCAGAAATCGTGGGCGTTCCATCAATGGAAGTTTTTAAGAAGAGCGCTAGACAGTCACCTGTCTGAGAGGGTATAGGTTCTCCTGCTTGAGCAGGGGGTTGGACTATAAGACCTCCAAGGTCCTTCCAGCTCTATTCTATTCTATATTCTATATTGTATTCTATACTCTATTCCATTCCAGAATTCTATTCTATTCCTATTCTATTCTATTCTATTCTATTCTTTCTTATTCTATTCTATTCCTATTCCTATTCCTATTCTATTCTATTCTATTCTATTCTATTCTATTCTATTCTATTCTATTCTATTCTATTCTATTCTTTCTTATTCTATTCTATTCTATTCTATTCTATTCTATTCTATTCTATTCTATTCTATTCTATTCTATTCTAGTCCTTAATTCTATTCTATTCTATTCTATATTCTATTCTATATTCCATTCCATTTCTGAATAATAGAATAGAATAGAATAGAATAGAATAGAATAGAATAGAATAGAATAGAATAGAATAGAATAGAGCTGGAGGGGACCTTGGAGGTCTTCTAGTCCAGCCCCCTGCTCAAGTAGGAGAACCCATACCACCTCAGACAAGTGACTGTCTAGTAGTCTCTTCTTAAAAATCTCCAGTGATGGAGCGCCCACGATTTCTGGTGGCAAGCTGTTCCACTGGTTAATTGTCCTCATTGTTAGGAAGTTTCTCCTTAATTCCAGGTTGCTTCTCTCTTTGATCAGTTTCCAACCATTGTTTCTTGTCCTGCCCTCTGGTGCTCTGGAGAACAACCTGACCCCCATTTCCTTGTGGCAGCCCCTCAGATACTGGAACCCTGCTATCGTGTCTCCCCTATTTCTTCTTTTCTTTAGACAAGCCAAACCCAAGTCCTGCAGCCGTTCTTCATATGTTTTGGTCTCCAGGCCTTTGGTCATCTTAGTTGCTCTTCTCTGAATTTTTTCCAGACTCTCAACATCTGCTAGACCACTTCGGCCGGTCTCGGGCCGCTAATCTGGATCAGGATGGGAGGTCACAGGTAGTCCTCGATTTACGACCTCGATTGAGTCCAAAATGTCTGTTGCTGAATGAAACACATTTTGCCCCCTTTTACATCCATCCTTGCCACCTTTGATAAGTGAATCCCTGCAGTTAAAGTTAAGTGAATCTGGATTTCCCCGTCGACTTTGCATCTCAGAAGTGGGAATCACACGACCCGGGGACACTGCGACCATCATAAGTACGAGTCAGTTTTGATCACGTGACTATGGGGATGCCGCATCGCTTAAGTGTGAAAAATGATCGTAAGGCAGTTACAACAGTTGGTTTAAAGTTCAAAGTTACGACGGCGTTGGAAAAAAAAAAGCGGCTGTTGTTCACACTTAACGACCGTTTTTCACACGGCCGTCGCAGCTTCCCCCTAATCAGAATGCGGCTGCTCGGCAACTGCTCCACATTTACGACGGTTGCCGTTTCCCGACCTCACGCGATCACTTTCGCACACAAGCGACGTCGACGGGGAAGCCAAATTCACTAACTTAACAGCCTGCCGCGATTCACTTAACGGCTGTGGCAAGAAAGGTCGTAAAACGGGACAGGATTCACTTAACGACCGCCTGGCTTTGGGCTCAGCCGTCGTAAGTCGAGGACTTAGCCGGTAGGCGGGGAAATTGAAAACTCCTTAGCCTTGCAAATATATATATATAATCTCTCTCTCTCTCTCTCTCTGTGTGTGTGTGTGTGTGCATTTCCACAAGGTTACTGAGAAAGGACTGTGATTTGAGGCTGATTCTATCTTCCATTTGCCTTTTTTTTAGTCCCCCCCCCCAGCAGAATTATACACATTAATGGGGAATTCATAGTTTATTTATTTCATCTATTACCCCGGCATCTTCTCTTACGCCATAAATTTGAGGCACGCAACTCGGTTTTTGCAAGAAGTGCGGCACACACTCGACTTTTTTTTCCCCCCTGCACTTCGGCTGACGAGAGATAACCTGGCAAGACTCAAACACACCCCTTTGGCGGTGTGTTGTGTTGCAGTTGTGCGGTTGTGTTCTCCTTTGCTGATTCTGCTAAGCTGGGCAGCTTTGCGGGGTCGGTCCTGGGGGAGAAAAGCTATAAATCTCACTTAAATTGCCAGTTGCCCAGAAGGGTTTTTTTGGGGTTTGCGGTCCCTGAAAAGCCCTGGAGAAATTGTGTAAATAGATCCGTTTCTGTTAACTCCGGGTGGGATCAAGCTGGCTGGTTCTTGAGAAATGGCAAAAAAAAAAAAGAGAGAAAAAAAGTGCCTGGATGGCATTTAAGGCCACATTCCGAAATAACTCTGGCGGAGAGAATAAATTCTGCTGAAGTGCCTGAATGTGAAGCAAATAAATTTTGGAGTGGGAGATAAATCATTCTGGGCTTGTAGGATTGTGGTTCCAAGCTAGCATGTTTTTTGTTTTTTTTTCAACCTCGGGGATCCTAAGGCGGGTGGACTTCAACTCCCAGAATTCCCCAGCCAGCATGGCTGGCTGGGGAATTCTGGGAGTTGAAGTCCACCAGTCTTAAAACCGCTGAGATTGAAAAACCCTGTTGTAAGCCCTTCATTGGTGAATACAATACAGTCTCTCTCTCTCCCTCCCCCCCCCATCTTTACAAACCTCATTTTAAATCCCTCTGTGGATTTTTCTTTAAATAATCCCATAATTCTCTTTCCTTGGGTTGTCTCAAAACGGTTTCTTTGAAGACCTACTCCTCTGATTATACAGTATGGCTGTAGGCAGCCATCTATCTCTCTGCTCTTTTGACTGCCGTAGTAGAGTTTCTTAGCAAAGGTTTAGAATAAAAGACTAGAAAACAACTTTGGAAAAATTCCTCCTCCTTCTTCCTCTTCTCCTCCTTGTCCTTCCCCTCCTCCTCCTCTTTCTCCTCTCCTCCTCCTCCTCTTTCTCTTTCTCTTCTCCTCCCCCTTTTCTTTCTCTTCTCCTCCTTGCCCTTCCCCTCCTCCTCCTCCTCTTTCTCTTCTCCTCCTTGCCGCCCTCCTCTTTCTCCTTCTCTTCTCCTCCTCCTTCCCTTCTCCTCTTCTCCTCCTTCCCCTTCTCCTTCTCTTCTCCTCCTTGCCCTTCCCCTCCTCTTCCTCTTTCTCTTCTCCTTCTCCTTCTCCTTCTCTTCTCCTTGCCCTTCCCCTTCTCCTCCTCTTTCTCTTCTCCTCCTTCCCCTTCTCCTTCTCTTCTCCTCCTTGCCCTTCCCCTCCTCCTCCTCTTTCTCTTTCTCTTCTCCTCCTTGCCCTCCTCTTTCTCCTTCTCCTCCTTGCCCTTGCCCTCCTCTTTCTCCTTCTCTTCTCCTCCTTGCCCTCCTCCTCCTCTTTCTCCTTCTCTTCTCCTCCTCCTTCTCCTTCCCCTCCTCCTTGTCTTCTCCTCCTTGCCCTTCCCCTCCTCCTCCTCTTTCTCTTCTCCTCCTCCTCGTCTGGTCCTTCTCATTCTTCCCCTCCTTCTCCTTTCTCCTTCTCTTCTCCTCCTCCTTCTCTCCTCCTCCTCCTCCTCCTCGTCTGGTCCTTCTCATTCTTCCCCTCCTTTCTCCTGCTCTCTTCTTTCTCCTTCCCTTCCTCCTCCTCCTCTTCTTCTTCCCCCTCCTTTTTCTCTTTTTCCCCCTCTTCCTCTTCCCTCCCCTCCTCTTCTTCCCCCCCTCCTCCTATTTCAGGGGACTGAATGGAGTGTGACATGCCAAGGTAGCAATATAACCGGCCCCCTCCTGGAGGGGGCTCCCAGCCCACCGGGTCCAGCAACCCGCCCTCACAGTAGCCGGCCAAGTATCCAGGAAGCTCACGAATTTGGCAGCGGCATTGCAACTGCCTTCCAGGCTAATAGCCATTATCCAACTGCCACGAATTGATCCAGCCCTTTTCTTAAAGCCAGCCCCACTGATAGCCCGGACTGTATCTCATTGCGAAGAGAGGAAGCGATCATGGACTTGAAACTCTGCAAACCTCCGACAATTCACTTCCGCCGTTCCACACACACACACCTAGCACACAATATCATCCGGGATTGTGGAACGGGTAGCCATGGCTAAGCGAGACAGTTGGTTAAAGTGAGTTGCTAAGCGAATCGCTGCAATTGCTAAATTAGTAACGCGGATGTTAAGCGAATCCGGCTTCCCCGTTGACTTTGCTTGTCAGGGGTGGGGATCCCGTGAGCCCAGGACACTGCAACCGTCATAAATACGAGCCAGTGGCCAAGGGTCTGAATTTTGATCCCGTGACTACGGGAATGCCATGTCAGAGCATGCACAGTCTTATTGCGCTGAGATAACCCAGGAGTAAACACAGTAAACAGTGGTCTGTATTAAATGGTGGTTTATATTACACCGTCTACAATATCATACACCAGGAACAATGTACATACACATGCTAATACAGCAGGAGTCAGCACACCACAGTTACAGCAGGAAACGGAAGAGAGAGACAGCACAGCAGCAGAGCCTTCCTTTTATACTAAGGCTCTTAAAGAGACACAGACCCTGCTGACTCTTAAAGGGATATAGACCCTGCTGAGTCATTCCCATCATTAAAGCATATAAGGAAAGGCTGCTGGAATTGGGTATGTCTAGTTTAATGAACTAGACATACCTAGGGGGGACATGATAGCAGTGTTCCAATATCTCAGGGGCTGCCACAAAGAAGAGGGAGTCAAGCTATTTTCCAAGGCGCCTGAAGGCAGGATAAGAAGCAACGGATGGAAACTAATCAAGGAGAGAAGCAACCTAGAACTAAGGAGAAACTTCCTGACAGTTAGAACAATGAATCAGTGGAACAACCTGCCTCTAGAAGTTGTGGGTGCTCCAACACTGGAAGTTTTAAAGAAGAGACTGGACAACCATTTTGTCTGAAATGGTATAGGGTTTCCTGCCTGAGCGGGGGGTTGGACTAGATGACCTCCAAGATCCCTTTCAACTTTATTATTATTAATTATTATTATTATCATCATCATCACACATCTTACCTTACAGAAGCTGGTTAGCTGTTAAATCATGACTTTAACATGCCGCAACAGTCGTAAGTGTGAAAAAAACGTCGTGTGAAAAAAGTTGTGAAAAATGCCACAACGGTCGTCACTTTTTTCAGTGCTGTTCTAACTTCGCTAAAAAGGAACGGTTAAGTGAAAGGCTGTCTGAATTAGGATGGCAAAATGTGGAGAAAGTCTGCAGGTTTCGAATGCGCTCCCCAGAAAGCGTGTTCAGCCCAATTAAAACCAAGCCTGCTGTTTTTATTTTTTTTTAGACACTCAACTGTGGTTTAAGGTCACTGTCAAAAAATTTATGGACGACTCCGTTAACCCTGGTTTCTTTGCCCTGCCTTTCAGGTCTCTATTATGTGGATAGCGAAGGGAACCGCATCTCAGGAACCGTCTTCTCGGTGGGCTCCGGTTCCGTCTACGCCTACGGGGTGATGGATCGCGGCTACTCTCACGAGCTCTCGGTGGAAGACGCCTACGATCTGGCCCGCCGGGCCATCTATCAAGCCACGTACCGCGATGCTTACTCGGGGGGCTCAGTGAACCTCTACCACGTCCGCTCGGACGGCTGGATCCACGTCTCCAGCGACGACGTCGCCGGTCTGCGGGAACTGTTCTGCGACACGTCCGCCGAAGCCGTGGCCTGAAAGCGTGGACTAAAATGAGGGTGGGTGGAGGGCAGCAGCCTGGGGTCTCTGTAAAGGCTGTAGAGTATTTTCAGAACCCGTAAAGAAATTGTAACCTCGACTGTTAACGGAAAGGGCGAGGCCGCAGATATTGTTGGAGGAACGTTGAACCGATGTTTTATGTAATAAAAATGTCCAGCTTCTTTGGAATCAAATTTTGCTTGTTCGAGCTCTTTGTGTTCTTCATTGGAAGAACAGGAGATCAGTCTTGTCTGCTGCGGTCCCAGGGAGTGTGTGCATGTCCACAGGTGTCTTATACAGGGAGTCCTCGGCCTACGGCTACAACTGAGCCTAAAATATTTGTGGCTAAGCGAAACGTTTGTCAAGTGAGTGTTGCCCCGTTTTACGACTTTCCTTGCCACAGTTGTTAAGTGAATCACTGCAGTTGTTAAGTGAGTAATACGGTTGTTAAGTGAATCCGGCTTCCCCCGTTGACATTGCTTGTCAGAAAGTCACGAAAAGAGGAGAATAGAATAGAATAGAATAGAATAGAATAGAATAATGATAAGAATAGAATAGAATAATTAGAATGGAATGAAATAGAATAGACTAGAATAGAGCAGGAATGGAATAGAATACAGCAGGAATAGAATGGAATGGAATAGAATATACAATATAATAGAATAGAAATAGAATAATGATAAGAATAGAATGGAATAGAATAGAATAGAAATAGAATAATGATAAGAATAGAATAGAATAGAATAATGATAATAGAATAGAATAATTAGAATGGAATAGAATAGAGCAGGAATGGAATGGAATGGAACACAGCAGGAAAAGAATGGAATGGAATAGAATATAGAATAGAATAGAATAGAAATAGAGTAATGATAAGAATAGAATAGAATAATTAGAATAGAATGGAATAGAATAGAATAGAGCAGGAATAGAATGGAATCATACAATAGAATAGAACAGAAATAGAATAATGATAAGAATAGAATAACAGAATAATTAGAATAGAATAGAAAATAAAATAGAATAATTAGAATAGAAAAGAATTTAGAATAGAAATAGAATAATGATAAGAATAGAATAATAGAATAATTAGAATAGAATAGAAAATAGAATAGAATAATTAGAATAGAATAGAATTTAGAATTAGAATAGAATAGAATAAAAAAATATGGAATAGAATAGAATAAAATAGAATATCTTTATTGTCACTGTGTATCTCACAACGAAATTAAGTGCTGTCCACAATGCACACTACACACAAGTAACATCACCGCGGGATGCTGCAACCACCATAAATATGAGCCAGTTGCCAAGCATCCAAACTTTGATTACGTGACCGAGGGGGATGCTGCAACGGCCGTGTGAAAAACGGTCATAAGTCACTTTTCCCAGTGCCGTTGTAACTTCGAACGGTCGCTAAAGGAACTCTTGTAAGTCGAGGACTATTTGTGGTTCAATTCTCGCCCACGCAGAGTGCAAATGGCCATGGGGATGTGGCCGAGTGGCTGCGGGAGCTGGGAATGTCATTTGAAGGTTTTATTTCTAGGCCAAACAGACCCCGAGGGTCATTGTGCGTGGATGCGTTTTCCCAAATGAAGGAACCCCAGCGCGTTTTTCTTAACTCCTGTGACAATTTGCTTCTAGTTTTTGAGGGCCGATTCCATACAGTCTCAAGCTATTTTCCAAGGCGCCTGAAGGCAGGACAAGAAGCAATGGGTGGAAACTAATCAAGGAGAGAAGCAACCTAGAACTAAGAAACTTCCTGACGGGTAGAACAATTAACCAGTGGAACAACCTGCCTCCAGAAGCGGTGAATGCGCCAACACTGGAAGTTTTTAAGAAGAGACTGGGCAGCCATTTGTCCGAAATGGTGTAGGGTTTCCTGCCTGAGCAGGGGGTTGGACTAGATGACCTCCAAGGTCCCTTCCAACTTTATTATTATTATTATTATTATTATTATTATTATTATTATTATTATTATTATTATTATTATTATTATTATTATTATTATTATTATTATTAATTATCCTTCGCCTTCCTCTCGTCCTGCTTCTTTCTTAACTTGGCACAACCGACTGCGTGTTCATCGCCCCAGATCCTAATATGAAGGGAAAAGGTCATTTGCAAGCTTCGGGGATGAAAAGGATGAGGCATGCCAAACGTATTAAAAAAAAAGGTGTTTTGTTTCTTCTTAAAACAAAGGTGGCTTTTGAAGTGTCTCCTTCCTTCGGCGTGGCGTCCCTGCTCACGAAGGGGAAGGAATGAAAGAAAAAAGGGAAGCCGATAGTGAAAGGTTTTTGCACCATTACAAAGAGACGGACGGGAAAAAGGCTGGCTTGGTCGCTCAACAGCGAGACACTGGTGAAGCGGGCACAGCAGCGCCTGCATTTTCTGCGTCGCATGAAAAAAGCACATCTTCCTTCCCCTGTCCTGACCAATTTCTGCAGAGGGATGATCGAGAGCATCCTGTCATACGGCATCACAGTCTGGTTTAGTAGCATCACTGCTTCAGACAGGAAGACGGTGCAGAGAGTGGTGAGGACAGCAGAAAAGATCATTGGCAGCTCCCTCCTTTCCATCCAGGATGTGGTACATAAGTGTTGTGTGAGCAGGGTCCGCAAGATGGTCTGGGACGCTACACATCCTCTCCACAACCTGTTTTCCTTGTTACTTTGGGGAGGGGGCTCCGCGGTATCCAAAGCAGAGCATCCAGATTCAGCCACAGTTTTCGTTCCATACATTATCAACTTTGTGAACTCTAAAGCTTTCTCCTTCATTATGTATTCAAGATGGACAGGGATTAATATGTATATGTTACTTATATGTAAGGGTGTAGGTCTATACATACGTTGTATACAGTATGTTTAAATGTGTATTATGTATGTGTACACTTTTGAGAGCAAGCAACTAAATTTCATTTTTGATGTGTGCCGTTGTGCCCACAGTAAAAAAAATGACAATAAAGGTTATAATAATAATAAAGTTGGAAGGGACCTTGGAGGTCATCTAGTCCAACCCCCTGCTCAGGCAGGAAACCCTATACCATTTCAGACAAATGGCTGTCCGGTCTCTTCTTAAAAACTTCCAGTGTTATTAGATAATTAGTTATCTAATCTAATCTAAAATCTAATTGCTAGACAAGAACCGACGAGAGGAGACAGGGCTGGGGTGTCTGTCCTGGGTTCAAAGCCCCCCCCCCCTTGCAAATAACAGGTAGTCCTCAACGTACGACCACAATTGAGCCCCAAATTTCTGGGTTGTGAACTGAGACATGGGTTAGGGGAGCTTTGCCCCATTTTTACCATCTCTCTTGCCACTGTTGTTAAGTGAATCACTGCAGTTGTTAAGTTAGTAACCCGGTCGTTAAGTGAACCTGGCTTCCCCATGGACTTTGCTTGTCAGAAGGTGGCAAAAAGGGATCTCATGGCCCCGGGACGCAGCAACTGTCATAAATGTGAGGTAAATTTTGATCACGTGACCATGGGGATGCTGGAAAGGCGGCGTGAAAAACAGTCGTAAGTCACTTTTTTCAGTGCCACTGTAAGTTTCAGCAGTCATTAAGCGAACTGTTGTAAGTCGAGGACTATCTGTACAGAGTCCTCAACTTACAGTTCATTCAAAGTTACAATGGCATGGAAAAAGTGACTAATGCCTGTTTTCCTCACGGCTATTGTGGCGTCTCCGGTGGTCACGGGATCCAAATTCAGATGCTGGGCAACTGACTCGTATTTATGACGGTCGCAGCGTCCCCCGGGGGTGTCACGCGATCCCCTTTTGCGACTTTCTGTTCGAGCAGAGTCCACGGGGGAAGCCGGAGTCACTTCGCAACCGTGTTCCTAACTTAACAGTGGCGAGACAAACCCTAAAATGGGGGAAAGCTCGCTGAACAAGTGTCTCACTCAGCAAACGTACATTTGGGCTCGGTGGTCGTACGCCGAGGACTTCCGGTCGTACCCCGGGTTGGAGCAAGCAGGGGAAGCGATCGAGGAAGCACCTAGAATTAGAGGCTGAATGTTTGCGTGTCAAGGAGAAGAGGAAATAAAAAATGGCATTGCCCGTTTCTGCTAGATTTTCCCTGCTGGGGCCCTGTTCAAGAATGCGTGTGCAGCTCTGGTGTGCGATTGTGTGTGCGTGCAGGAGACTGGCCAATCAGGGCAGGAGGGGGGGGAGAGCACGGGGGTGTGGCAGCTGGCAGCAGGGTGCACCTCTCCCCCTCCCCCCCCTTTTTTTTTTGCACACACACACATGGACACGCAGGCGAATACAAAGAGCTGTACGACTTTCCTGTATCCTTTGCCCGTGTGCATGCATGCATGTGAGGAGACAGGATCAAGGGGAAACGGGGGGGGGAAGGGGGGGGGAAGGGACGATGGCAGGGTGGGGGCAGAGAATCCCCCCAGTCTGCCTTTCCTTTTTTGGCCTTGCCAAGGAGAAACAACCAGGAAGCTAAAGAGCAGAATGAGTGCAGGAATAGAGTGTGCAAGAATAGAGTGTGTACATGTTTTTTTTTTTTAATTTTTTTTGCAAAATGGCTAGACAGGTGGACGTGTACCGAGAAAGATAACAAAAAAAAAGGGGGGGGGGGAGAACTTGGAAGCGATAAACTGGCGGCCTCATAGAAACTCGGGATAATAAGATATCCGATGGGATAGATAAGCGCTTTAATTGCACACCCACAAGTCTTTGCACACTGGGGAGGGGAAGGTTCGATAGATCCTCGTCTTTTTTTAAAAAAAGACGAGGATCTATCGCACCTTTCCCCCCCCCTACACCGAGTGTGCAAAGACTTGTGGGTGTGCAAGGATCCTTTTGAATGGAAGACCCAGCAATTTATCTCCTAAGGATAGGACCGTCAGGGTGCCAGGCCTTGGGACGGAGGCACCGTTCCCCCAAAAGCTAGAAAAATTAAAAAGCGATTATACCGGTAACAATAAGGCCCAGAGCGTGAGATTTCTACGAAAAAGCCTTGCAGGAAAAACAATAAGGAATTTCGGGGCGATGATTCCATGAAATCTACCTTTTGGGTTTTCATTTCAGCTTGCTTGGTTTGGCAGGAAGGGATGGCGGGAATGAGTGGGGCTTCTTCAGCGTTATAATTGTAATTTTCCTCCCCAAATCATCAGCCCCCAAAGCTACCAAGTTTTTAAACCAGGGTTTCCTTTCTCCGGCTGCTATTCTAGCTACTCGAAGTACA